GGGCTTTTCAACAGACATTACTAAAAGTGTTGCTCTAATGATACTTCACTGAGTATTTGTATGCAAATTTTCCTATATACAGAAGAGCAAAAAAAAAGCAACGTGCGTAAAAACCCTTTAGAAGAAAAGTTTATGCTTTTGTTTATTTTGTGGGTGAATCCAGTTTCTTTCTTAATTTTGAGATACTGTATACCATTTAATTTGCTGTATGTCACTGGAATATACAATCTAACATAAATCTAGAACAAACAAGTGAACCAGATCATTTTGAAGAGATCATTTCTAAAGTTTCTCCTAAGGTAAAAAATGATTTATTCTAAATTATACATATGGTTTTCTTCTAGCAACTTGTAACTAAAACTTTGTTTCTCTTATTTAAACAATTTCCATTTGTACACATGTCTGAAGGTATTTATCATTCTTATTTGCAAAACACTTTAACAGTTAAGATTATGAATGTATCCAAAGCATTCTTTTACCTAAAGCTTAATTAATGCATTATACATTTAGGAATTTAAAATTCAGATTTGTTTTAAATAAGAAATTAAACATTAGAAATATTACTTTGGCATTATGTGATGTTATGAATAAATTAAAATAAATTTTAATAGTAGGTTTAAATACCTGAACTTTTATGAATGGTTCTAAAGACTTGCAAAATGATTTTCAAGCAGTTGCTTATAAATAAATTGTTGGTGACTATATGCTATTAAGTATTACAATGACTATATGCTATTAAGTATTACAATAACAAAATAAGGAAAAATATATTCAGGATTTTCTAGGTGGTTCCTTGCTGCTTTGAAAGAATTACTTATATTTGATGGCACATAATTTGTGTACAGGAATATAATTCTTTATGCCTTACAAAGTTATGTCTTCAGGAAGAGTAACAAAAGTACTTCATAATAAATGAAATTTGAATTTTTGGGAAATCCTAATCTAAGTAATTTAGTTTTTTGTGTGTATTTCATATGAGCCTTACTATTTTAATTCTTTCTTGGAAGTTATGGTGATGACATATCTAATTGTTGATTAATTGTTGTTTAATTACCCAGTCACTTTGTAAATCTTTTAGATCTTTTTCCTTTCTTGTAATTTTCATGTTTAGCTTATTTCCACGTTTATACAGAAATTTCAAAGGGACCAAAAGCTTCTTAAAATTAGAAGCCAAAGTGTGTGTCTGTATTTTTCTTCTCACTGCTCCATTTAAGTCTTTTTAATGGCTATTTTAGTAACTGAAATGTTTCTGAATTCGTTGTTATTTTTTACTGTAAGACAGCTGAATTGCTGTGCTAGACCTGGTTCACCAAGGTGCTGAAGAAGTTTTGTTGTTGCTGCTTTTTTTACAAAGTCATTAAAAGTGAACTCTGCTGAGGGAGCTGGGTGGGAGTGCAGATACTTGGAGCGCTCTGTCCTTGACCAGGTCAGTGACTGACACCTTGCTCAGGGAGAGTTGCTTTGCTTATGTAGGATAAGTTGGTGGTCTTGGTCTCTTAAATTAAGAACCTGTGATAAAATTAGATTTCTTGCTGATCATCTTAGGCAAATGAAGACTGAGGATTGATTGGTAAAGAACCACTAACCTGTCCTCTCCCCGGGGTGTGAGCTCTGAAGAGGATTAAGGCCTCTGGAGGGGAGGCTTGCGCGGAAGCCCGCACTGCCCTTTCCCCTGTTCTTTCAGCTAAACAGAAGGTTTTCATTCCCATGACTGTCAATCTGATGCTTTTCACAAGGACTAAATTCTTTTAAGAAAATTAAGATGTCGTATTTTTAAAGCTAGCCTAGAAAAATGTTTGTTGGTATTTCATTTTGACAGCGCCTGTACAACGTACTGTTTTTTCCTGATGCGTATTAATTTGTTTTAACTTACGTTGAATTTGGACATCACTATATGCGTGTCAAATTCAGAGACAGGTTTTTATATGGATAGGTTTGCTCATCCAGTTCGTAACTTTTAGAGATTGGCCTTGTTGAATTTTACATCTCGTCAGAAATAACTGACAGCTCTGTGGACACAAACCTTAACTTTTATTTCTGGATGACTGCAGTTATAATGTGCTTTCTCTTGATTGAGGTTTAAAAGCTTTGAAATAGCTTTTGTAAATGTAGAAGTGTCATTTTTTTACTATCTGCCAAATTGGTATTGTATTTAATCTTGAAAATATATTTTGGTTTTGTTAACTAAACATAATTGCAGAGTATTAAACATTTTCAGTAGGTAAAACTTTCTATTTAATTTGAGCTTTTGTTGTTACTAACAAATAATTTGTGACACAGTTTATTTTCTTTTTTTTAAAATCATCGCTAGAATCTATATTCTTGTCACCTTAGTGTGCTGGAAACGTTCCACTCAAATCAAGGGTTCCTCTTTGGTTTTGTGTGTTCTCACCTGCTCCTCACTGTAAATCATTGAGATGGCAAGTGGGATGATTAATTAAGCTGCACGTGCAAGTGTTTTTTTTTTCACCTGTCAAACAGGAAAGAAGTCTTACAGGAAGAATTAGATGGTACTGATTCACAGGTTTTACACACTTTGTCAACTGTGCAGAAATACTGTGTATTTAGATGCTTATGCAGAAAATGGCAGAGCAGAGTTTGTTGGTTTAGAGTTCTTAAATATTCTAAGATAGTTATTATAGCAAAGCCTGTCATTAAACTCTTAATTAGAGGCAAAGAATAAACTCACAATTCCTACATAAGCATTTTGGAATTTAGGACTCATACTTCGAAGTTATCTTTTGTTCAAGTACTGGTATTGATTGAAGTTAGTTAAGCACTTTAAAATTTTTAAAATTGATTGCATATATTTGTGCTCATGTGTATCATGCTGAGATCCAGTCTCATTAAAATATATTATGGGTTTAAATTTCTGATGGAGTGATGGTGGCAGCATTTTTTTTTTCTTCCAGTAATAAACATTTGTGGAATGTAGTGTTGAACTTTTGGATCGTATTTTTATATAGTAATATGAAACAATGGACTTAGAGAGCTTGCTCTCCCCACCCCAGCTCTTTCATCCCTCCTTACCCCTTTTAAACTATCAGTACAAGTAAAACCTCAGATTGTATAGTAATCTTAATCTATTCTTAAAAGGCCCTAGAAAGGAAGATTACAAGGCAGACTCAGGTTTTGAATCGGTTTCACCATTGGTTTAGCAGCGGGTGGGCAGGCAGATGCCTGCTTATAGTGGAACCTATTGCCATTTTCACCATTGATAGAGTAGCCTTTCAGAGTCAATGAGCTCTGTCAATGTGCGCCTGTCAAGGCTACAACTTCATAGACCTGAGAGGCGGTTTGAGAGGTCAGCCCTTTTCAGGTTCGCTGTAATGCAAATGAACTTTAATGCTTAAACAACTATTGGAATTTTTATGTCTGCTCCTTGTTCTTTTTTCTTCACAAAGTCATTGACGAGACATTCAGTGCTTTTTAAATTGGAAGTTGCATTGTGCTAAAGACCTAGTACAGATTTACGGAGGGCTGAAAGCAGTTAGATCATGTTCTTTTCATGGTGCGATTAGAATCAAATCGATTTCCCTACAGCCTTCAGCATTCAGATGGCAATTTTAACAAAGCTTGGGGGCTAGACAAGGGGCAGAACGACTGAACTGAATGTTAATTACACTCTGCAGCCTTATTTTCTTTTGATTTGGGGCTGACTGGCAACTAAATTAACAAAAAGTGTGACCATAACTGCTGCCCTATTTTCATTTAAAAGGAGAGCTGCCTCTAAAAGGCTATCTTTACAAAGAAACAAGTGAGGTCTGCTGATCATTGTTAACAAGGGCACTTTTTTTCTTTAAAATTCTTGCCAAAAAGACTGTTCAAAAAAGTAATGTAATAAATTAGTCATTGGTGTATTATTACCCCTAAAGGTAGTTGATTTTCTCATTTTTGTGGTATAAGTTTGGGAAATGTAAAGCTACCAGCTGGTACCTATGTGCCTTTGGTGTGTCTTTAATATGTTCAACATGCTGAAAGGTAATATTGGAGCTGCATTACAGTGATACTTTAAATGTACATTAACATCTTATTATGTAACAGTTAAGCTTCAAAACCAGCATGATCCTTACAATTTCTATGTAGCTCCTCCTTGATTGGCATGCAAATTTTCATATTTGATTAATACTTATTTATAACGGTACCAAATTAATAGCGATAGATGCTTTTATACTCCCTCTCAAGGAAGCTGCAGCTGCACCAAGTTGCAGTTGATCTTGCGGCAGCACTGTCACTTTTGCACCTGCAGTTGTTGTGTCCCTCTCACCCTAACACCTGGCACCATGAATTATCCTCTCCTTCATTCATCCTCCCAAGCAAGAAACACTTCATGCTGCAGAGTATATGTTGCAGTAATCAAGTGAAGCAAATTTCTCAGTTGGTTCCTGAAACAGTACTATTGGATTAAGAATGTGTTTTTTCTATCAGATGCTACTTTTTATGTTAATTTGGCTGTTTAAAAAAATCTATCTGGAATCTAGTAAACTGGCTTTTCAATATGGACAGTATTCAAATTTTTAAGTATTTTAAAAGTATTTTGATCTTTGTTGATTTTTTAAATTAACTTTCATTTCTAGATTTACTCTAAGAATTAGCATTTTTAAACTAATATTTAAGGTACTTTTTGTTTTAAAATACAGTATATCTTCAGAGGAACTTTCATTACTTTTTAAACATTACAAACATTTGAAGAAAGTGAGGATTTTAATTTATATCATTTGATAAGTGATATTAGTCATTAGTAAATTAATAGTTCTAAATCAGAAGTAGTAAGTTTGAAAGTTTTTAAAAGATACATATGCTTAAAAACAAAGCCTGTCAGTTTACAAAGAGTGCTATTTCTGTTCGGGTTACTGTTCAGTGCTGGCACATTGAAGCAATACAGACCACCCTATACTTAGTCACTGTCTTATACTTCTCCTCTTTTCACACACAAGCAGCTGCAAAACAGTTTTTCTAAAACCAGTCAAGAGTAAACTTTTTCCTCATTTGTCTTCCAGACACGAAGATCGATTGAGAAGTTATTAGAATGGGAAAACAATAGGTTATACCACAAGGTGAGTACCACAGGGAGCAGCTTCGTACTGTTGGGGTCTGAATTGCACAGTATGGAAACAGATGCTTTTGTTGAACTAAAAATATGAAAGGTGGACAAATGGGTTAGTCTGTGTGCTGCGGTGAAATAGAGCTCATTTTTCTTCTTTTACTCTCCTGCTTGTCTAGCTGTGCTTGCACTGGAGACTGAGCAAAAGGAAATGTGAAACGAATAACATGATGGAATATGTAAGTTAAAGGGCTGTTTTGTGAGTTTCTCTATTAAATGATCATTTATTTTGCTTCTGATCTTATTCTTTCCATGATTATTAATCAGCAAAGGTGTCAGGAGCTTAATCTCCTGAGTGCAAGGATTTTCTACGGTTCACAGATGCATGGGTTTCATGTGCAAGACTGATTTATAAAGTTATGAATGACTTGAAAACAAGGCTTCACTGTGTTCTGAAAAATAATAAATTAATTGCCAGGATAAAATAGCCTGAACATGTGTTGATGGAGTGTGAAATTTTAGATGCTGTATAAAGAATAACCACAACTTTGGTTACGCAGCAAGTCATATATGGCTTTTTATATAATGCTAATCAAGTTTCTAAGTATGGAGGGAAACCTTTCAGCCAAGCCACTGGAGCTTAAGAAACCTTTAGCCTTTGGAGACTTTAACCGCCCGTATACCTTAGTGGCCTGTAGAAAATTTTTCAAAGTATTATGAGAATATGGCTTTGTAAAAATGATTTTAAACAGAAGACGACACGCTGATCATCAGGATTTATATTTAATTTTGCATGTATGTACAATGAATTTTAAAATTTAAATTTACAGATTCTCCAGTTTACTTGAATAGTTGACCTCCTTTTGAGAAGTTGGGGATACTATAGAAAATTATACATTTTTATTTATTCTCCTTGAACTTTGGTATTTTATTTTAAATGCAGAAAGGTTATTACATTAAATGAAAAAGTTAAGAAAGAATTAATTATTGAAAATTAAAGCCAGAGCTTTTGTGAAGTACCTGTTGTATTTCTGATGAATTTTATCTATTCTTTGAAACAGTGTAACCATCATAGATTCTGTGGGTGTGCATCGATTGATGAAGTGTTTAAATAGTTGGAAATTATCATAAAATCATTTTTCTCTGTTAGCATTTTCTGTTTAAGTCAAATCCCATTTTTAGCTTTGAACCTAAAAGATATTTTTTAAGTGTTTCCTTTTTCTTATAAACTAGCTCTATTGAGCGAACCAAATAATGTAGGTTTGACCTTTATTATACCAAATGTTAATTTATGATGATGAGAAAGTCACTCAATAATTCTTCATAATTACTAAAAAAGCACATTTAAGGAACATGTTTTCAGATTGAAAATACTAATTTTATATTTTCATCTTAGGGGGCTTATGTATGTATTTTGAAGGGAGAGATAAAAAGGTTTAAAGGCTCTTGTGAAAAGTTATTTGCTGCATTTTAACCCAAACATTAAGCCTAAAACTGAGGTTTTAGTTACTTTTGTGCATTTCAAAACTTCGGAAAGTAAAACAGTAGTTACTCCTGAGTTGAGATACTGGTCAGTTAGAGAGTACTTGCCTAGCATGTACAAAGCTCAGGGTTCAGTCTGAACCGCTGCAAAAATGGAAAAGTTATTCGTGATGCTGTGATTTCCAAGTAGAGCTATATGAATGTCGTTCATTCATAAAATATACTTACTATTTTTATGGCCTTTTTTTATTAACTAAAAATAATTGAATAACCCTCTAAAACATTCTGAAGATGCTTAGTTTTTAAAATAGTTTACTTTACCTTGAATTTTTATGTAATTAAGCACTTCCAAAGCCATTATGTCATTTTTCACATCACCATAAGATCTCCAGAAGGGTAGTAAAACAAAAAATATTTTTACATGACAAAAATTTCTAGATTTTTCTCATTGTGAATTTGTGGTAGCTGAAAGTAGGAGCAACAGCTCAAAAATTCCCTAAAAATAATTTTAAAAAGTTAAAATAGCACATAATCAAGTAAGAAGATTGATCCTACTCTAAGGAATTTGAGCCTTTTTACTATGTATCCTTCTTTGCCCTTGACTGTTCTGTAGCTTGCAGAAATATGCTGTTGGTTAAAGAAAAATAATTTTCATTGATCGTGTTTTGAATATTGGAGATAATGTAGAAAAAATATTAACTTAATACTAACTTTTCTTTATTCAGATAAGCTATAAGACAGTAGCCAGTTTCTGTGACTTGTGAAGGGAAGAGTTTGTAGAGTGATCTTTAAAACTAGAACATGTCTGTAGTCCTAGCTATTCCAGAGGCCAAAGCAGGAGGGTTCCAAATTTGAGGCCAGCTTGGGCAACTTAATGGTGTTCTGTCTTTTAAAAAAAGTGAAGTAGCTATGGTAGAGCACTTGCCTATCATGCATGAGACCCTGGGTTCAATCTCTAGTACTGAAGAAGAAAAAGAATAATTTAAATATAGTAAAAACCAGCCTTTATTTTAAATTATGTAGAATATACTGTAAAATGTGATGCTTATACGCAGGCACTAAAGTTCTTTAGACCACTAGATTGAGGACAGGTTTTAAATAGAGAAGTATTTATTGAATGTTAACTTGCAAGTAGTTTAAATATGTAATCATCATGTTTTAGAGGTGCAGAGAATCTTGTCGTCTAGTCCAGTTCTTCTATTTTATAAGTAAGGTGCTTGAGAAACAGGAAAGTCTAGCTCAAATGAAGAAACTGTGTGGGAGAAAGTATGTTTAGCAGGGAGCTAGTGAGTATTTCATGGACAGGTCGTAGGTGAGGAGGGTGGCAGAGGCAGCGTGTAAGGGTTTATACAAGATAACTAGAATAGGACTGAAGTATTTTTATTGAGGTACCTTCTTTTTTGAGGCAGATCAAGAGGGATAGAAATCAAGAGTAAAAATGAAGCCTCCTGGCTCGGATGGCTAGGCTAACTTCAAGATTTGTTCAAATCTGGAGGTCATAGTAAGACATGGTGTCTGAAAAAAACAATGAGAAATTTGCCAAACTTGTTCAAATCAAATAATTTTTGTTACTGTTGTGCTTGTTGTGTTTTGTTTAAGATAGGATCTCATTAGGTAGCTCAGGACTTGAGCTCACTGTGTGGCCCAGGCTGGCTTCAAAACATCTTCCCGCCTCAGCTGCCCAAATTGTGGCATGACAGGAGTGTACCACCCCTTCCATTTCACATTTGATCAGCATCTATTCCAAACAGAGTTGGAGCAGAGGAGAGAGTTAATTGTAGTTTAGGACCGATCAAGTTTGGAATAGCTTTGCTGAACTTGTGTATTTCTGCATTATTGTGAGTTTTTTGTTTATTTTTCTTTAGTTTCCTGTTAAAAGTTCCTCTGGAACAGGCTTTAATTAATTTTCCTAACCCCACAAGAGAAGCACTTCAAGAAAGAGATTAGTGACCTTTATGTAGAGATCATATGTCCTGGTATGGCAAAATGAGAGCCTCTGTGGAATTTAAGAGAGCCCTTGGAAGAGGGTTGACAAGAGAGAGGAAGCACGAGGTGAAGTATCGGGCTAGTTCCAGTCACAGTAGCACAACAGAATGACAAGGCTTTGGTAGACAGTCACTTACTTAAATACTGACTCCAGAATCCACACGCTCACAAATAGTGGGATCATCAGTATTCTTACCAGTAAAATGAAGATGATAATACCAGCCTCCTGAGTTGTCGGGCTTAGGCGGACTCACCGAGTGTGGCACACTTGCGTGCAGTTGGTGTTCTCGTACGCGGTGCGTGGCCGGGGCGCTGGCTGTGTTCCATCTCCACTTCACTTCTCAGACTTGGTGATTTCACCTTCATCTGCTTCATGGAGCTGAGGAACTTGACGTGTTTGGTAAAAGTCCAGACATTTAAAAAGAAAATTCTCAGTGATAAGGTTCTAGGTTATCAGATAAATGTGTGTTTTGTGATGCGAAGTTGTAATTGTGAAATGTGAAGAGTGGATTTTCAAAAAAGCTATGATACAGTATAACTGAAGTTCTAAGATAAAAATCTGCATAAATTTAAAAAATTTTTTTCTTTTCCTTTTGCAGGTCATCCTCATAGAATTTTTACCAAAGACACCGATTTTTCGACCAGATTAGCATTTACTTTATTTATAGAGACTTTCCAAGTATGTTGTCTTTCCAACGGTGCCTTGCTCGGTGCTCTCCTGCTGGTGACGTAACATTGGTTCTACAGAATCATGTGGTGTTTGTTTTTTTAAATAAGTGCATGTTTTCTGTGTGCATATTTGTCAAACTTCGCAAGTTATTTCATACAGATGTTTAATACTTAAGTTATTGTGCTCTTTTCTGTTATGTATTCTGATTTTCAAGAATTACTTTTTTGTATTCTCAAAAAAATACATTTGAACTTAGCATAAAAAGTGGCCAGCTTTTTTATTTTATCACCAAGGTACATGCAGCCCTTTATTTATAAATTCCTTAATATAGGAAAACACCTTTGTAAGGCTCTACTTATCTATCCTAGCAAACAGACTCTTTGTATTATTTTTCTTCTCTTTAATAATTATTTTAAAATAATAATTTTTCTTTAATAGTCTTTTGGAATACAGCATACCCTTTCTCATACAATTCCTAATGCTTTGTTTACAGCAGATATATCTGTTAATATTATGAAGACCTGTCAAAAATTTTAAAAATATTTCTGTCTTCAAAGGTAGTAAGGCAGGATTATTTTTATTAGACTAGATAAATCAGTGAATGGTATGCATGCATGTAATGGTTACTAGAGCTCAGGATCACAAAGTATAGTAGCATTACAATCTGTATATTTTTTATCAAGATGATATTGATAATGGCCTTACTTGGGTTATTTTTATTGTTCACCAAATCTTACATACAAAAGTATGGAAGTAACTTCTTTTAAAAATTTCTAAGAAAAATATTTCTCCCATTCTATCACAGTTGTAGAATGAATGTGTTTCTAAAGAGTTTTGAAAAGAAAGAAAAGTTCTAGAATCAAAAGTAAGCTGGTATTCAGTACCCCACTGATATTTAGAATGATTATTCCTAAGAAATGGAGGACATTTTAGTACTGTGTTTGCCCACCCATTCACTTTCAGTCTCTTTATAACACTCCTTTGATTGAGAGTGACGTACAGGTTCGAGTCAGATTAGCTTATTGCTTTTAAATACACATGCACACTTACACATGTACACATACATATTTTTTCTCCTTTTGGTTGTACATATCTCCATGCATTTTTAAACTTTTAAAATTTCTGAATGACCTCTGTATAAATTTTTGTTTTTATAAGCCTGCAATTATACAAGTTTTAATGTGTGTCAAGAACTTGTTCCTTGCAACTGTGGTATCGAGCAATAATGTGAATAACTTTTGAAATTATATAAACTGTGCTTAATAATTTGTATTAAGAATTGGTACCACTATACAATACCTTTTTTTCTTGTATTAAATCTTTTAAATACCAGTTTCATTAGTTTATGTAAATGTATTTTTAAAAAATATATTTCTTTGTACTTCTCCAAAGTACTGTACTTCTATATAAATTTGAATGCCAGTATCATATACCCTGTATCCTAATGTCATGTATCAGACATTAGGAACTATCTTAAAATTAGTATTTAAAAAATTACCTTTTGTCTGAAGATCACTTATTTTCATTGGCCCCCTAAGTAACTTTAACTTGAATTTACAGAGCACTATTTCTGTGAAGAGCTCAAAGTTCAGACCTCAGATACCCCTCACTTTTATCTAATTTGTGCCAGGGTGTGTCGTAAAACTTTAAAGTAGTACAATGTTTTTGTTTTTGTTTTTGTTTTTGTTTTTTGAGATAAGCTCTCACCAGTTTCAGGCTGGCCTTTAACTCTGTGACCCTCCTGCGTCAGCCTCCTCAGTGCTGAGATTATAGGTGTGCATCACCACACCAGCCTAATGTAGTATAATTAAAAGTAGTTCTATCAGAAACTCCGGTATTCCTCTGTGGTCTCAGGGCAAAAAATACCGTATCTTGATATGTAGTAAATCTGCCTCAGGGTTCAAAAAGAGCGGAAAACCCTAATGGCTGTGTAGACTATGCAGGCCAGGGTTTCTGTGTAGAGCTGTGTAAGGTCATAGTCCCGTAGCGGTCAGCTTTATAAGAACTTACTAGACGTAATTTTTCCTCTTAGCCTGTGATAATTTTCAAAATAATATATTCCTTTAACAATATTTTAACATAATTTCCATAGTTGGTATTAATATAGGATTTTGAAAACCTAATTTTGAGATATATGTCAGTTGCACTCATATACTGCCGGTATATCTATGGAAAAGCACCCTGAATGTTTAATCTGTGGCATTACATAAGCCAGTTATACCTTGGACAGTTAAAATTTCATGCTTGAGTTTTCATTCGTAGTCTCCAGTGTTTTAATCATTTTCTAAATCATGAATTTAAGTGTTTATGATACTGAAAATTAGAAATGTCGGGGAAATCTCAGGAACATCAGTCCAAGGAAATATGTAAAAATGGTGATTGTTCTTTGGAGCCTCTTCTGGCTTATAGTTTGTAGTGTAGGACATGAATCATAGGTGCTTTTTAAACTGGCCAAGAAAAGATACTGGCAGAAAATCTAATGTGTAGATCTTACATAGGCTAAGTGAATAACTTCCGATCTCTTTTTTATACACTACCAGTACTTTATAAGCAGTCACCATTCCTGTTGAGAAACATTTTCTCAAGTAATATACTTTGCAAACCTCCCTGCCCCCCAATCCATGACTTTGGATGTCTGGATTAAAGTAGGTACTCTAAAAAGCCAAATATCTTTAGTAAAACTGATATGAAACATTTGCTTCTGAGGTAGGTACTACCCTTTCCTTGTAAGGAGGTTGCTCACCTATATAAAATGATCATCACATGCTTATTAAGACTCTGTAATGACTAGGTATCCGTCATTTACAATAGGAGCACACAGTTTTGGTCTAAAACCCACGAAATGAATTTAACAAAACCTTGAATAATAGGAAATAACTTCTTACTAGAAACGCTGGCTTTTTTAATGAATATTTTTAAATCAGGAAGAACCACAATGTCCCCAAAGTTGTATTTTCATTGTTGTTTATATAGAGTTTCTGGTTTTTTCTTTATATTAGTAGACAGGTCAGCCATTGAAGACTTTGGCAACATTCTACTTCAGGTGTTGGTTGTAAAAGTATATTAAATATGTATAGTTAGGCCCCAGTTGCATGAGTTCTAATTGTACTAGTTTTATTAACATGTACAGAATCTCTTTCAGCGTTCTTGGTATCTGGCTTCACAGGCTCACCCTTTAGCTGTATGCCAGATGTTTTGTTGTGAATACTTGCAGTTAGTCGGTGGTATTAAATCAGAAATACAGTGTGTTCAAAACTGCCTTTGAACTCCAGAATGGAGTCACGGACCTTCTTTCTTTTTGTCGTGGATCCTCCCTTTGGCCTTTGGATGGCCCAGTCTGCAACCAGACCTGGGCATAGTTCAGCTGCCTTTTTATCTTCTTCCTCAAAGCTCCCCGTGAGAATGTTAATTCTTTTGCATCCTTAGCTAGGTATTTAGAAGGCCCGCGAAAGTGAGTCACACGAAGTAACGATGGTGGCTGACACCCTCAGTTCTGCACATTTGGTATTTGCGTTTTACAAAGGGAGTGTCTTAATTGGTGCAGTGTACAACTGCTGTTTCTCTTAACAGATTCTGTCTGTCCAGACTTGCCAGGAAAGGACTAGTAGGGTACACCATTCTTGAAGAAAGCTGATTTGTGTCTTACTTTTGGGGAGGAAGGAATAAACCAATCTTACACCAAACTATGATTCCCACAGTGGTTTATTTTAAATGTTTAACCCTTTATCAAATGACATTTCTAATTTTCCACCTATATAACCACCTTTATGTTGGTTTTGGAACATACCTTTTATAGAAGTTGAGGTTTGAATGGTATCTGTAAATCTTGAGTTACCTTGTCTGCACCTGTACAAGATTTTTAGATGGCAATTTAAGGGAAGCCTAAATAGTATTTACATTATTAACCATAATTCTGTATACTTGTTACTCTAATAAGGACCAATTCTTAACTCCACAAAATGGCATATGAATCAGGAAAATACTCAGTGTTATTTTACTTAGAAATACTGAAAACAAAAATGTAGGATGCTGATGCTGATTTTGAATTAATTTTTGATATGCTACACTATCATCAAATTAGTTGGCCTCTTTGATTTTATTTTCATTTCCAAAATAGGAAGGTGCTGTGGCATTAATCTGTGAAACAAAGGCTCCAATAGTTGTTCGTGTTACTTGTTAAATCCTATGTAAAATTAAGTACCTAGATGTTTAATAGTAATGATTGAGCTTTTTGAATTCTTTACAGTGTCAGCACAAACCCGAGTTACGGTCAGATTTTACATTTAAATTAAAGAGATTGGGAACGCACTAAGTATAATGACCTTGTGAGTTTAAAGTCGGAGAACGTTAAATATAGTACTGGAGAACGTTCCTTTCTTCTTCTTACGCTGTTTTTTTGAGACAGCGTCTCACGTTGTAGTTCAGGCTGGCCGCGAACTTGAGCAGGCCTCTTCCCGAGTGCTGGGATTGTAGGTGTGTGCCACCACACAGGGCTGAAAAGCTTCGTTCTAACGAATACCTTTTAAAATACCAATCTGAAATACTTCGGCAAAATCGTGCCTTCCCCTTTTTACATTTCCTCTGCTTCATAAATACACAGTGCTCATAATTTGCCTGTGACTTTTTTCTCCTTATGAAAAGTAGAAAGGACTTCGCTTTGCAGACTCGTAACAGAAGTAGGTCGGTAAGCTGACTGCACAGGGCACTCTGTAAGTTTTGGCAAATAAACTATTGCAAGTTGGTTGTTGCTTTTTAGAGGAAAAGTACCAACCTTCAAGGGAAAGTCACCGATCCTCGTCATTGCTACATTCTTATGCAGCTGGTGCCCTCTTCTCTTGCGTTCCGGGGATTAGACTCCCTGGGGCTTCCTTTCCGAACCGTGTTCCCAGGGCTGCTCGCACACACGCGTGCGCACGCCCTTTGGTTTTCGAGACAAGGTGTCACTAAGTAGATTGGGCTGGGCTTGAATTTGTGATCGTTCTGCCTTGGTGCCCGGAGTACGTGGAGTACAGTCACAGTGCCATTGTGCCCAGCTCTGGTTCTGGATTTAGTGAAACTACTAATTTGAGTTTTTCCTCTTGACATAAGTACTGTATAAATTTAAAAAGTAGAGGTCTGTTGCACTAAGGACCTTTTTCTAGGAGCAGTTTATGAAGTAATTGTAACAGTCGAATTATTTTGTTATGAAATCTTTATAAACAAGTTTGTCTTCACCGAGGTTACCAAAGCCCTCTTACATTACCTGTCTCTGTTCCCGTCGTGGGTCTGTTACGTGGAGCCCTCCTGCAGAGGGAGCTGCTGGGAGGCTGGCGGCTGCGCTGGAAGGAGGGAGAGAGCGCTGCGGGGCCAGATGCGCGGTCGCTGTGCCCTGAGCCTGCGGTGCTCACACGGGGAGAGCGCGCCGCGGTCACGAATGCGCCGGCTTTGTGCTTGCTTTTATGCGCTCTTCCGTTCAATTTCAGTAAAAATGCTGGTTCTAAAAAAATACTGTTGTGCTGGGTGTGGTGGCGCACACCTGCAATCCTAGCTCTCGGGAGGCCGCGGCCCTGAGGGTGCGGCTGGCCAGGGCTAGTGGGCTCAGATCGGTCTGAACTCCAGAGTGAGACCCTGTCTCAAAAGCTGAGAAATAAATAAGTAAAATATTAAAAGTACTGTTGGGGATACAATTTTATTTTACTGGCACATCCTTTAAGAAGGTAGCAGGAAGCTACCTGTGAAGGGGAGTATACTTCTGTTAGCTTTTATACTTTAAATGTAACTTCTTTAAAAAACCAAAAAAATTTCAGGAATTTGTTTCGTGTGCTTAAATAAACATAGAATACTTTTCAAGTAGAATCGTCAAATTTCCAGTAAGTAATTGGTTATACAGAACCAGGACGAGGTCCCTTCAGCCGTGCTGTCATGTGGTCCTGGTAACAGTCACGTGAGTCTAGTGACATTGAAAGTAACTTTGGTAAAATACAAAGTTGAATTTAAAAGATGTATTATGTTTTTGCTGTCATTATTCACAAGTTAAAATCATTGGCCAGCAAACATGATCTAGTTAAAATGGATTCTTTTGTTAGATAAAAATCTGTTCAAGAAACACAGAGGGGCCGGGGATCTAGCTCAGTGGAACAAGCGCCTGTCTGGCAAGCACAAGGTCCTGAGTTTGATCCCTGGTGCCGCAAAAAGAAAAAAAAGAAACAGGTCACAGTTCAGGTGGAGTTGGGGCTTGACTTTGGGCCCTTGTTGGTTACAGTATATTTAGTTTACAAAATTAAGGCTTCTTTGATTGGAATTTTCTAATGAATAAATGGAGACCTAAGATGAGCTAGGGGAAATTTTTAAAACCTCCTTGATAATGAATGTAACATTAAATGAAGTCAGTCCTAAGTCATTTTACGTGGAGCTGTAAAAGTGAGACTGCCGGCTTGTGTGGTACATGCTGGTAACCCTGACTCCTGGGGCTCTGAGGCCAGCCTGGGCGATTTAGCAAGATCTGTCTCAACGTAAAT